ATGTTGATATTTGACTTGTGTATATATCAATTAATATATGTATTTACTTCTTTTCTCAATTTGTCCATTTTATGTCCATGAATCAGTTACTTATACATAAGGTTGTGTAAATCGATAATTTTGGTCAATCTTAAATATTGAATAATCAATAAAAGAGACATGAATGAGAATATATAGATACTACATTTATGAATCATATTCAAAATTATCATATCTTGGGGACGACGTTGGCACGTTAATATTGCCCAAGAAAACACCCACCAAGACATTAAATATACCACCCAATGACCCGCCAAGAAGAGTATGACCTCACATATAATCACTCAAATCAAATTTTTTTTCCATAAATGGTTGTACATTTATAATTTAGTTTACACACAATTTCAGTACATTATTTACGTAAAACGCATAATAATAGTATAACCAGTGATCATTATAACTATATACTGTTCAACCTAGATTCAGATCTAGATTATGAGGCTTTATTTGTCAGTGATTATTACGTTAGAGTGATGAAAAATGTATCTTTCTACCACCCATGTGAAAGATGCCTGGTTGAAATGTGGCTTAATGTGCCAGGAAAGGTGCACGTCTCAGGAGGGTAGAGTGTCATATAGATCAAAGGTGTCTCTTACACTCTGTAACTCACACAGTGTACCATTCATTGAGTACTTGCCATTAACTTGGGATTCTTGTTCATGGATATATGTAACCTATTAGGCAAAATACAGAGGCCAGATTCACGAAGCAGTTACGCAAGCACTTACGAACGTGTACATCTTTCATCAATCTCTGACGGCTTTGGTTACATTTATTAAACAGTTTACAAGCATGAAAACTTCCCAGTCAGCTGTTGGTATTGTAGTAAACAGCCTCCTGGTGCTTCGGAGCTCATTAACTGTTTAATAATGGTAAACAAAGCCGCCAAAGATTGAGAAAAGATGTACAGGTTTGTAAGTGTTTGCGTAATTGCTTCGTGAAATTGCCTGGGTTCGTTGCCAGGTTTGGCCTCAGGACCCGGCCACGAGCCCAGTGAGAGCCAGGCTAAATCTACCCAATAAAGTGCCTTGCATTCAGACTCTCCAAAACATAAAAAGTTTGGCTGGTTTGTGTGTGTGTTTTAGGTGTCCAAAAAGTGTATATCTCCCACTTTGCTTCTCTTTAACTTTCTCCTTCCAGAATAACACACTCACCACAGGGAGCCACATATGGCTACCATGTACATGTTCCTCTGCAACAACAGAGCAATGTCGACGCTTTTATACAAAATATGCAACATTTTGGATCTTGTTTTGGTAACAGGTTGGCAACCTAAAATAAAGTCAATACAACAATTCAAACATGACTTAAATGAGTTGTTATTAAAACGCAACTATTTGGATATATTTCAAACATACCAACATAGCTTTAATTAACTGTACAAAAAAGTGCAGTAAGTTTTTTAATTATTAACTGTATAGATAATTGAACTGCAACAGAATAGTTGTCGCAGTCAGCTCACAACCTACTGGAGCAGGGTTCGAATTCCTGGCAAGGCGAAGCGATTGGGCACGATTTTTTTTTCATGTAACATTAATGGTAGTAGAAATTATTATAATTATATATTTAAAACAGTAACATTATTATAAAACAGACACAGCCAGTGTTAGATCAAAATATATATGGTGAAATGTTTCCAGTAGACCGATTACCCAACTCGAAGCCTCGTCTGGCAGACCTCGCCGTGAACACACACTACACCATCAACACACACTACACCATCAACACACACTACACCATCAACATGGACCAGCCTGGGACATGATGTACACTGCTCACTAACAAGACACTTCTCTGTAACATTAATTCCTTAATGGCATCAAGCTACCGACGCCAGTTATGACCGCTGACCTGCTGTTTTATTCCTGCCCGCCCTCACCATCATTATACACAGTTCTGAAGGTGTTAGTCCCAAGAACTGTGTTGTGGAACTGTGTATTTCCAGCAACAACAAGGTGACATTCATGACCACAACACTTCTATTTGCACTCAACCCATCATCAAAGGTGCCTTGACCAGCAGCACCGAAATACAGCGACAACAGGATATTAGACAATAAAATATTAGATAACATGGGCGCCTGACAGCTGGGTGGACAACGCTTCGGATTCGTAATTCTGAGGTTCCAGGTTCGATCCCCGGTGGAGGCGGAAACAAATGGGCAAAATGTTTCTTTCAGCCTGATGCCCCTGTTACCTAGCAGTAAATAGGTACCTGGGAGTTAGACAGCTGCTACGGACTGCTTCCTGGAGGGTGTGTAACAAACTGGAGGCCTGGCCGAGGACCGGGCCGCTGGGACGCTAAGCCCCAAAATTGTCTCAAGATAACCTAAAGAAGATAACAGGATATTTTTATCATGAGCCAACTTAAGCTTAGCCACGACTCACCAAGTCGTTTACCACTGTCGGGGACAGGAAGCCTGTTAAGATTATCGACGAATCCCTAAGCCAACTACTGACGTTTCTCAGGACATAACCCACGTACAACAGTGGCCTGACTCCTGGGAATCGAGTGAAGGGTAATGTGCGTAAGCGTCTCCGTTTAGCGCGGATATCGAACCTGGGACCTTTTGGTTGTGAACCGACTGCGCTGATAACCATACGGCCCTGTGCTACAGGACCATAAGATGGCTGCCATTGTCACTGTCGTTATTCCTAACAATATGACGTTATGTGTTGTGACATTTATATA